TATATATATATGGCTTTTTACTTTTTTAATTTTTTCATCTTTTTATTTTTCACCACCTACAAGAAAACTGAATAATAATGCAAGTTCAAACAAAATATGAAATAACATTAAAAAAAATAATTGCTAAACTTAGATTCTCAACAATTCAACTAAAGTTCTATTAAAATCAAAATTCTTCTTAACCGTTTTTCTCAGCAGCGACGCCAAAAACTTGATAACTCAAAAAAGTTGCAGTAAAACAAGTTGGTTGACTCATGCAAGTATATGTATTAAAGAGTACCACGTATTGATTCGACGAGAAAAGTGTTAAGAATTATTCTGGAGGGCGAATCTCCAGTTTATTACACTTCTAAATCTAAATTAGCGTGATCACAAACAAGAGGTGATTATATAAAATCTTACTTAAATGCCAAAACAAATGATAACAAAATCAAAAAAGACATAAAACAATAGTAGATAAATCTTATTGTTCTTCAAGGTATGTGAGGCTCACACCCTTGTGATTTAGGTGATGTAGTGGTTCAAGATTTTCTTAGACTTTCCGCTATGTGATAGTTTTGAACAGGGATATAAAGTCCTCCTTATGTCTATGCTTAGGTCAAAAGAAAGCTAAAATCCATAAAATTGAGGCTTCTTCAATCCACATGACATCACACAGATTTGTTCTTATCCCATTTCTAGGTTGCAAAACATGGATAAAATATGTCTATTGTTACCCGTATTTTGTGGTTAACTATTTTGTTCCTTTGTGCAATGGTCAAGAGTCACACATCATGAATTATGTCAATATTTTAATTTGTCAGATCAGTAGTAAATGAAACTCTACGATTAACACACCAACGAAAAAACCCTAATTCCTCAGGAAAACGATACAGAGAAAGAATCAACCGAGAAAACCACAAAAATCACATATCACGAATCACAATGGCAAGAAAGGAAATTTAGCTATGCATGTTGGAACAAACACAGAAAAAACATTCCATTGAAATCACAATTGTAAGTAAAATAGAAAATTATGAACTTACAAAACATTCGTTTCTCTCTTATACAATAAGCCTCTCAGAATATGTAAGAAAGTACAAAGTAAAAAGTAGAAAGCACCCTTAGTGCCTCAACCCAAGAGAGGAGGAGAATCCTAAGGGCAAATCCTCTAAAACCCTCTCTTTTTGCTCTTTATCGAGGTCACTTCCGTTCCAAAATATGCCATAAAGAATATTTTTATAGCTTAATCCATGAATCTAATAAGAAAATTTCTTAACAAAACAATTTCCTACTCCGTTGGCATGGTCACGCCAACCTTCTAAATCGGGCAATGCGGTGTTGACCTCACTTTTGATTGAGGTCTAGAAAACTTCTTTAGTAGCCTAGGTCTAGCCATAGGACTTTCCTATTGACTAGTCTTAGAAAATTAGAAAAGGTACCCCCACCATTAGAAATTCAAAACTCTTCTTTTTACTCAACTTGAAATTCCACATAATGATCTTAACCTCTAGCATTTAGTAGATAAGATCATTATAAGAGAATTCAAGAAGAGTCCCTATAGGATTACTTGGCTTTAAGATTGACCCTGGGTGTTGACTTGGAACTAGGGTACACCATATCTTCACAATACATTAATCCATGGTTCATTTAGAATGGATATTTATCCAATTCTATGTGGAATGCTTAACTTGGTCTTTTGCCCCTAG